CTAAAATTCCCAGGGTGGTGTCAGGAGGAGAAGGAGGAAGGTTGTCAGGCCGCAGATCTTCGGACTCGGTCATAGAGGGTATAGATATTGATGGTAAGAGATTATCTGGTAAAATATTTGATTATAATGAAAAATTGCATCAAATGATGCTTGAAGTTAATAAAATGTGTTATGAAAAAGGTACGAGGATTAGTCAAATATTGGCTAGTAAAATTATGGAATTTATGTCTGAAGCACAACAAATTGTGCAGGTACTTGTTACTGAGAGAGAGGTGCTTAAAGCACAGGTAAGAACGGTTAAAGAGGTTAAATGTGAGCTTGAAAAAGAGTATAAAGATAAGCCTAGTTATTCTCAAGTTACTAAGGCTAATATTCCTTTAACAGGTAAGGTTCAGGAACAAATTAAAACCAGTTATAGAGGTAAAGAAGAAGCAGTGCTTCTGGTGAAAGGTAAGAAAAACGATATGAGTAGTGAAGTTATAAAAGAAAACTTTTTGAAAAATATAAATCCAAGGAAAGATAAGGTACGTATTGGTAGTATAAGAAAGATGCGTACTAATGGTATTGTGGTTACACTAGCTAATAAGTGTGACCTTGATAAGGTATTAAGTAATAAAAATATTATGGAAGGTGAGTTAATTGTTGAGCAACCGACTAAGCGTCGGCCAAGGTTAGTAATTAAAGACATTCCTAAGGGTTTGTCTATGGATGAGATTATAGATCATATTGTTGATCTCAATAGTGATACGCTCTACGGTGAGGAGGTGTCAATTGATAATTTTAAATCTGATTTTCGATTGGTGTACCGTACTGGCCGAAAAAGAGAAGGCCTTACTGATTGGGTAGCGGAAGTAGCGCCCAGTCTTAGAGTAAGATTATTACAAGGTGGTAGAATTTATATAGGTTATAGAAGTTGTGTGGTTAGGGATTACCATGAGGTAACCCTATGCTACAAATGCCAAAAATTTGGGCATGTGGCAAAGCACTGTGGTGCAGCAGATTTAATCTGCAGTAAATGTGGTAAGTCTGGGCATAAAGGCCCTGAGTGTAAAACAGAGGTGTCTGAAAAAGCATGTATAACATGCAAACAAATGGGAAAACCTCACAAACACAATTTAAGGGACAAGGATTGTCTCTCTTATAAGATGGCCTTGGAAAGGTATCTATCTAAAATTGATTATGGACAGTAGTCCTAATAATTTTATAAAATTAGCTCAAATTAATATGGATCGGAGTCGATCTGTCCCGGGAGAGCTTAGTAAGGTTGTGACTCATTATGGGGTAGATATTGCCCTGGTTCAGGAACCATATGCAGCTCCAGGTAAGGTACTTGGGTTTGATAATAAGGTGAAGACTGTCCACTTCCGGTGCGCCCAGACTCAGCCCTGGGCGGCTGTTATTATTTATAACAAAAAGTGGGCAGTGTTGGATATTCAGAGCCTCTCATCCCCAACGTGTGCTATAGCACAGGTTATGGGAGATGGTATGAAGGTGTATATGGTAAGTCTATATTGTCCACCTAGTGGTGATATTAATAATAGTATAAGAGAGTTGGAGTGTATCCTGGGGAAGCTGCGTGGTGAGAATATTATTATAAGTATGGATGGTAATGCTAAGGCGACTCTTTGGGGCAGTGAGACTACCGATGATAGGGGTACTCTTTTATTGGAGACGATCCTTAAATGGGACTTGGTTTGTATTAATGATCCAGAGGCAGGTCCCACGTTTATCTCTAGTAGGGGTAGTTCTTATATTGATTTGACCCTCACTACTAAGGATGTTGTCATTAATAATTGGTATATGTTGCATGACACTACTAGCGAGCATGGTTTAATTATTTATGAGTACAATGTAGGTAAGGTACTTGATCCTCAGTGGTGTTCTTTAGGCACTTTTGGCTTTATGAGTGCAAATTGGCACAAGTTTCGGCAAAAACTGGGGCAAAATTTATTATCTAAAAACTTTGAAATTATAGAGGACAAGTATGAGGTGATAAGGTACTGCACCCATATTCAGTGCAGCATTAAGGATGCTATGGTTTGTGCTATCCCCAAGGTAATGCGGAAGCACAGGGCTCCTAGGTGGTGGTGTAATGAGTTGGATAGCTTAAGAAGGCAGGTTAATAAAAGTAGGAGGGCATTTCAAAGGTGTTCTGATACTGATATACGTAATTCTTTAAAAGAGGTATATATTAATAAGAGGAAGGCCTATAAGGTTAGGCTAAAAGCCATTAGAGAGGAAAGTTGGAAAAGGTATGTGTGTGCTAAAACTAAAGGTGACCCCTGGGGCACCCCTTATAAGGTTTTAATGAATAAGCTCAAGACTAATCAGGTTTTGGTTAATATGAAAAGTGGTAATGGTGAGTTATATGACTGGTTGGATGTGGTTAATTTCTTATTGGGTTCCCTGTTTCCTAATGATAACGAGCAGGAGGATGATAGTACACATAGTGTACTTAGAGAGTTGGTGGATGGGTATAATGGTAGTGGGCATGTCGATGATATTGGTAATAATGATGTTGACTTAGCCACTAAGGCCTCCCGGGGAAGGAAAGCCCCTGGGGCCGATGGTATTACTTACGAGGTTCTCAAAGAAGGTTATGGTATTTTAAAGCCTCATTTGAGGCGTCTGTATCAGGCATGCTTAATGTATGGTGTCTTCCCTAATTGTTGGAAACAGGGGAAGGTTGTTATTATTTATAAAGGTGGTAATAGAGATAAGTTTAATCCAAGGTCATATAGGCCTATTTGTTTAATCCCATTATTGGGTAAGGTGATGGAGCGTATTATTAAGTACAGACTAGAGTCTGTTATCAAGGGTTATAATGACGATTATCAATATGGTTTTAAAAAGGGTTATTCGACTGATGATGCGCTGATGCGCCTTAGAGAGTTGGTTGATAAGTCTTGTAGCAAGTATGTATTAGGTATATTTTTTGATATCAAAGGTGCTTTTGATCACTTATGGTGGCCCTCGATTATGAGTGAATTAAGGTATAGGCAGTGTCCTAATGATTTATATAGGTTATTAAAGGACTATCTGTCAAGAAGAGAGGTGGTTTACGAGGAAGCCAACCTAAAGGTGGTTAAGAAGGTTAATAGGGGATGTCCTCAGGGGTCGGTCTTGGGACCTGTCCTCTGGAACTTGGTATTTGATGGTGTCCTAAGGATTTTTAATAGATATGGTGTTAAGTATATTGCTTATGCTGATGATTTGGTTTTAATAATATTTGGTAATTCGAGGAGAGAGCTGGAGTCCCATGGTGACAAATGGGTTATATTGCTGAATAATTGGTTATTGGCTAATAAGCTAGAGCTGTCGGTTGATAAGACGGTGGCGATTTTACTGAAAGGTAATATGAGCATGGATCGGCCGCCAAGGGTCAAGCTTGGTAATAATATAATTAAGGTTGTTGACTCGGTTAGGTATCTTGGTATACATATTGGGGCCAATATGAGTATTACGCCACATGTCACGTCTATCACTGATAAGTGCATAAAGGTGTTTGGTATTTTAAAGCAGAGTATTAGGAAGGAATGGGGCTCCAGCTACTCGACTCTTATGGTTTTATATAAAGGTTTATTTTTGGGTTCTTTATTGTATGGTGTTTTAGCATGGCGGGACCTCCTTAAGGGGTATCATAAGGTAAAATTAGAACGGGCCCAAAGGAGTGTCTTATTGGTTTTAACTAAGGGGTATAATACTGTATCTACTATGGCACTACAGGTTATTGGTTGTGTTTTACCTATTGATTTAGAGATTGAGTATAGGTATTATTGTACCCTAATTAATAAGCGCATGGTTTTTAATTTTGGCGATGTGGTGTACGACGGCACCGCATCTGGTATTACTTTGGTTAAAAATAATGTGTTACAGGTGTGTTATGATATTTGGCAAGACCGGTGGAACAGGTCTGAGAAAGGGAGAATAACCTATGGGTATTTCCCTAATATTGGTAAGAGGTTATTGGCTAATTGGGTTGAGCCTAATTATTGGTCGACTCAGTTCTTAAGTGGTCATGGTGATTTTAGGAGTAAGTTAAGGTCGTTCCACTTGGTCAATGATGAGTGTTGTGAATGCGGTGCTGTCGACACCCTTCGCCATTTTATGGTTGATTGCAGGATTTTTTATTATGATATTGGGGAGCTTATGGGTTTATTGAATATTAACTCCTCTGATGATATTGATTTTAATGTGGTCTGCACCAATTTGGTGAAGAATAAGTATAATTATAATGGTGCATATAATATTTTATTTAATATGTTTAAGAAGTGTATGGTTTTAAGGGTTGGTGTTTAGATTGGTTTTATATTTATTGGTTTATTTATTTTTTATGGTGTATTATATTATTATATTTGGTTTTATGGATGTATTGTATATTTTTAGCTGTTTGGTCCCTTGTATTATTAAACTTGTGTTTAATGGTATTAAGGGTTCTGCTAGGCCTATTTTAGTTTTTGGGGGGTATATTTATTTATTTATATTTTATTGTTGGGTATGGTGCATTTTTTTTTATATGGTATTTATTTATGTATATATGGTTTACATATATGGGTTGTATATATATATATATGGTTATATATTTAGTTTTACTATTGTATATGATATTGATTTTATAAGGTTTTTTATATTTTGGTTTTTATGGTATTTGGTTATGTATTTATTACATATATGGTTTTTAATATATATGGTATTTATTTTGTTTATATGGTATTTATTTATGTATATATGGTTTACATATATGGGTTGTATATATATATATATGGTTGTATATTTAGTTTTACTATTGGTAATTAGTATTTCTGGTTGTCTGGGCGCACCGGTTATGGTATAGGTTATATTGTTTTATTGTTTTATTTTATATTGTTTTTATGTTTTATATTATTTGTTTTTATTCTTTGGGTATATTTATTATATATTACTTTTACTTATGTTATTTTTATTTTTTGATTATAGCTATTTGGTTTCCCCTCCTGCTCGGGGAAGGCACTGGGTGTATGGTGCATACATGGTGTTGGCATGACCATACCATGCCAATAAAAAAATTCTACTGGTTGACCTTATGGGTATGGTGCATAGGTCTAGTAGATAGTGGATTGGTGTTTTATTAAGTCTTAGGGCCTACTGGTACGCTCATGCAGGTACAGTAGGGGTGGTGGCGGGACCTTTGGGACGGGATGTCTCTGCATAGTCTCCTCAAATGGGGGTCCATTGCTTGTGCCCAAACCAGGCAATGGCCCCAACTCGTACGTACCAGCCTTGTCGCGGCAGAGGGGCTCAGTACCCAGGGGAAATGCTGTAATGGTATTTGTCCTGGGGAAGCTAATGGTGCGGCGGGGGATTCAGGTGTTGGCCTGTCTCTGAAGCTAGGGCATGTGCTTGGATCATGACCTCGGGGAGAGAGGATTGAAGGCAGTCCCCGAGGGTACAGTTTTAAAACCGGGGATGCACACCTGGGGCGCCCCATAGTTAGGGGCCTGGGGGGGTTAGCCGATCCCTACTGGCCGCCCTGATCAGGGGGTGAAAAATCCCGCCTCCTGTCCGAGTGCAGGGTGGCGCCCTGTACAGGACCCTCTGGCAGGGGGCGAGGGCCACTACCGAGGCCACGGGGGCTGCCTTTGGTCCTCTCATAGGCCCTGGGCATGGTCGGGTGCATGTCTTGGTGGAGGGGATTAGGTTAGCACCTGGGTCTGGGGATTGGGTAGGGGTTCCTCTTACATTAAATATGGATAGTCAGAAAAAAGAAAAACGATTAAACGTGCGGGGGGTAAGGGGAGGGGTTCCTGTCCCTCAAGATGAATCACCTGTGAGTGTTGTTAGGCAAAGTTTAGGAACGGATAGGTCAATTCAGGAGTATGATTCAGTGGGTTATTTGCGCGAAGCAGATAAACTACAGATGGAGTTTAGAAGAGCATGTAACCATAAAGATAGTAAGTTGTCTAAGTTATATTCGGGTATTCTTATAGATATGTATAGTGAAGTGATAGGTTTAGTGCGTAATTTGGTTACTGAAAATGAAAGACTGATAGGCAAATTAAGTGTTTTAGAGAGTATGAATAGGCCAGGTACACCAATGGTTGTTGCACCATCATATGCAGAGGTTGTAGTGGGTGGTGAGGAAGTGTCTAGGGAGGTTACAGATAATGTTGTTATAGTGAAAGGGAATAGAGAGGAAGATAGCGAGGCTATTAGACGGAAGTTTATGGGCTGTATAGACCCGAATAGAGATTTAATTCGGTTTCAAAATGTGCGGAAGATAAGAAATGGTGGAATAGCGGTAACGCTTGCTACTAAGAAGGATAGAGATAGATTAATGATACATGAATTAATACAGGAACTAGGTTTAAATGTAGCACTACCTGTGAAGAGAAAACCACGGATGGTTATTGTAGATGTTTCGCGTGAATTGCAAGGGGAGGAATTAGTTAAACTTTTGTATGGTTTAAACTCAGATTTAATTTATGGTGATCATGAAGGTAATTTAGAAGATTTTACTAGAGATTTTAAGCCGTTGTATCGTACTGGACGCAAGAGAGAACTATTAGTAAATTGGGTAGTCGAGGTAGCACCTTCTCTGCGAATGAAGTTATTGCAATTGTCTAGGTTATATCTTGATTATAGATGTTGCAATGTTCGTGATTATTATGAAGTGTCGAAGTGTTTTCGGTGTCAATTGTTTGGGCATATTGCTCGAAATTGCCGTCAAGAAAAAGATGTGTGTTATAAATGTGGGGTGGTTGGTCATCGGTCAAAGGATTGTGAGGTTTCTGAAAGAGTTCGAAAGTGTATACCGTGTGAAAGGTTGGGGAGGCGTAGTGATCATTTTTCGAAAGATAGAGGCTGTTATTCTTATCAAGTTGCAATTAGCCGATATAAATTAGGAATTGATTATGGTTAGTCGAGGAAATTTAATTTTAAAGATAGCGCAAATTAATTTGCAGCGAAGTAAGTTAGTTCCTGATGAGATAGCCTTATACATTGATAATCAGAAACCTGATGTATTGTTGGTCCAGGAACCGTATGTTTTTCGAGGGAAAGTTAGGGGTTTGGGACATAGAATCAGGGTTGTCCAAAGTTTTGATAAAACACCATGGGCAGCTATAGTAGTTTGCAATGATTTGTGGTCAGTGATGCATCTTTTGCAGTACTCCTCGAGTAATTGTGTTGTGGCCCAATTTACTAGGGAGGAGTTAAGTATTTATTTGATCAGTATGTATTTTTCCCCTAGCGGAGATATTTTGGAGTCTATAGCAGAATTAAATAGAGTATTGATGGCTTTATCTGGGTGTCGAGTTTTATTAGGAGTAGATGCAAATTCAAAGTCCCCATTATGGGGAAGTCCCATATTAGATAGTCGTGGAGAGCGTTTGATGGAAGTCTTAGGTCAGTGGGGATTTACTGTATTAAATGATCAGACTGAGATCCCGACATTTTGTTCATCTACAGGGTCTTCTTTTGTGGATGTGGTGGCATATTCTCCTTTATTGCAAGGAATGGTTGGTGAGTGCATTGTTAGTCATGATTATACGGTATCAGATCATGCGATGATATCTTACATAGTAGATTTTGGGATGTCTTTTAAGATGGATGAGAGCAGTTTTCTCTTTACAAAAAAGAATGTTAATTGGGATATGTTTTCTAATATAGTTTTGTCATATTTAAATAAGAATAGGGTATCTATTTTACAGAATAGGTCGGATGTTATACGATTGTGTAATGTAATTCATGGTGCATTTGATCGTGCTATTTTTGTAATGTCTCGTAGGGCAACGGCGATTAATTTTCAGAAAAGATGGTGGTCGTTGGAGCTTAATACTCTTAAGAAGAAGGTTAATAAATTAAGAAAGGCGTTTCAGAAAGAACGTAATTTAATGTTAAAGCAAATCAAATTGGAAGAATATCGTTATTGTTATAGTGAGTATAAGAAAAAAATTAGGATGGCTAAGCAGAGTAGTTGGAGGAATTTTGTAGAATCAACAGCTAATAAAGATGTTTGGGGATTACACTATAAGATTCTTCGGGAGAAAGTTGCAATGAATAATGTTTTATGTGCTGTTCGGGGTAGGGCAGGCTATGCTATAGATTGGAAGCAGGCGGTAAATATTATGTTTCAAGTGTTATTTCCAGATGATGATGAGGAAGCAGATACACAGACTCAGGCAGAAATACGCTTACAGAATAAACAATATTATAGTACTAGGAAGTTGGAGCAGTTCTCTATGAATGAGTTGCTATGTGTTATAGGTAAATTAAAAGGTAGGAAAGCTCCGGGATATGATAAAATTACATATCTCATGTTGCGGAAAACCATTTCGGTAGTNTTATAATTAGGTAATAATATTAATAGAGTGTATTTGGTTAGGCGAGACAGGGTCTTCTTTTAGGCTGATGGTTTCGTTGTATTCCCACTGGGTTGGGGGTGGGTTGGGTCTCTTGCGGGGGTCCCTGATTTTTTCAGGGTCTCTTGCGGGGGATCCTTCCCCTCCCCTTCTTGGTGGTGTTTATTTTGATAGTGGATAGAGTCTTCTAGTTGGGTCGGGGACGGGGTCGCCCGTGTCGGGGCCTTCTTCGGGAAACCGGTGAGGGTCCTGGCGCGGGCGGCCCCGCCTCCGGTCAGGTTAGGTGGAGTATTTAATATGAATAATAGGTTTGAAGGGTCTATGTTTATGTGTAAATTTTGTTAAATAGTCTCATATGGAGGGGGATGGATTGGGCCCCATCCCCTTTCATGTGAGTTAGGTTTATATAGTTTTTATTGACTTTTCATAGTATATAAATAATTTTGCTTTCTAGGGGTGGGTATCTTGTAGCCAGGAACAATTGCATAAGTAATAGGTTGCTTTTAATTTCATAAAGAGGTTATTAAAGTTAAATTGTATTAATCATTCCGTTCTCAGGGTTAGGGGGGTTTGGGGTAAATTTCTAATTAAATTAAATGGAAAGTAAAAAATTAAAGAAAAGTTTACAAGTGCCGGAGGGAAGGGGGGAGGTTCCTGGCTCCCAGATACCTATTCGTAGGTATAGTAAGAGTGAGGCGTCGTTAAGTGAGGTGAGCTCTACTAGTATTAGTACCTTGGACCACTTGCAGAGTGTAGAAAGAGCTTCAGCTGAATTGCAAAAATTATGTGCAGATAAGAAGATTACGGTTAATTTGACCCAAAAATTAGTGGAACTCTTTAGTGAAGTTACGAATGTGGTACATACTCTAGTAATAGAAAATGAGCAATTAAAAGGCAGAATAGAAACGTTAGAATCTGTGAGGTCTAAACCTGTAGTAGCAAAGTCTTATTCGGAAATAGCAAGTAGGATTAATGTTCGACAGCCTATGCAGGAAGAAGATAAAGTAGTAATAGTGAAAGGATTAGCAACAGAAAGTGTTGATATTATAAAGAAAAAATTTTTGTCTTCTATAGATCCTGTACAAGAAAGAATTAGGTTGAAAAGTGTACGAAAGACACGTAACAATTCTTTGTTGGTTGCTTTAGCAACGAATAGTGATAGGAATAGAGTTTGTGCAAGTGAGAAATTAAAACAGGCTGGTTTGGATGTTAGAGTTCCTAAGAAGCGAAAACCGCGGCTGATACTTATAGATGTTCCTAAGATACTGGAATCTGATGACTTAGTCTCTTTAATATATGATTTAAATAGAGATCTTTTTTATCAATTAGATTCAGATTTAGATATGTTTAAGTCAGAATTTAAATTATTATATAAAGTAGGAAAAAAGCGAGAGACATTGGTTAATTGGGTTGTAGAGGTATCTCCGGAATTGCGAAGGAAGTTACTTTTATTAGGTAGGTTGTATATAGAATATAGGAGCTGTATTGTTAAAGATTATAATGAGGTATTAAAGTGCTATAAGTGTCAGTTATTTGGGCATTTTGCTAGATTCTGTCGTCAAGAAAAAGAAGTTTGTTTTAAATGTGCTGAGGTAGGACATAGAGCAAGGGATTGTGTATCAGTGGAGACAGTAGTGGCTTGTGTTCCTTGTAAAAAGATGGGTAGGCCCTTTAAGCATGCATCCAGGAGTAGGGAATGTGTTTCTTATAAGCAGGCGTTGATGCGGTATCAACAAACGGTAGATTATGGGTAGTTTTCTTCAAGATAATAATTTTAGAATTGTTCAATTAAATATGGAGAGGATGAGGGTGGTTCCGGCGGAGTTGCGGAATTATATGGATAAATTCAGGGTCGATGTGATGCTGTTGCAGGAACCTTATGTGGTAAAAGATAAAGTGGTAGGATTTGGTTTTAATTATATTGTTGTTCAGGGCTTGGTTGACAAGCCCTTGACAGCAATTGTTGTTTGTAATCGTATGTGGAATATTTTAATTATTGATGAACTTTCCTCAGCTACCTGTGTGGTTGCACAGGTTTTTTGTGAGGGAAAAAGTTTTTATATATGTAGTTTATATTTTCCGCCTAGTATTTTAATTGATAATTCTATATTGGAATTTGAACGTGTTTTAACTGTTTTAAGAGGTAGCAGCATCATTATCGGTCTTGATTCGAATGCTAAGTCACCATTATGGGGAAGTGATCGAATAGATGAACGTGGAGAAAAATTGATACCAGTTTTATTATCGTGGAATTTACATATTGTTAATTCTCGCAATTCCGTCCCTACTTTTTCGTCCTCTCGAGGTTCTTCATTTATTGATTTAGTTTTAGTTACAATTGATTTAAAAGATAAGATATGTGATCTTGAGGTAACATATGATTATACGTCATGTGATCATGCGTTAATTGCATATACGTTGCTTTTGGATGTATGCTTTAGGGATTCTGAAGTAATTTTAATAGGAGATAATAAGAAAATAAATTGGCATAAATTTAGGCAGATTATCCGACGACGTTTGAGTGTTGATTGTTTGCGAGTGTTGTATAACAAAAGAGATGTAGTACAATTGAGTGTTGATATTGCTAAGATTTTGATTAGTGGTTATAAGGCAGTTAGATTATTTAGAGTTTTAAAAAAGAATGTCCCAATTTGGTGGACAGATGAATTAGAGGAGTTAAAACAAAAAGTTCATGTTATTAGGAAAAAGTATCAACGTACTGTAGATTTAGTTTTAAAGCAAGAGTATTTGACTATATATCGTGAACAATCAAAGAAATATAAAAGATTAGTTAAGATTGCAAAAAAATGTAGTTGGAGAAATTTTGTTAAAACTCAGATGATTCGAAATGTTTGGGGTCTGCCGTATAAGTTAATAATGCAAAAGGTTAGGATTAAGGAATATCTGCACTCTGTAAGGGTCCAGGGTCGATTATTAATTGATTGGGAGTCTTCGTTGAAGGGACTAATGAATGAAATGTTTCCTAGAGATGATATTGATAGAGATTCTGTTGATCAATGTGAGATGAGGTTTAGGACTGCTCGTTATTATACAAGTGATTTTAGTTCACCTTTTACATTGCAAGAATTGACAAGGGAAATACGTCAATTAAAGGGACGAAAGGCTCCTGGTTTAGATGGTGTGACTAATCAAGTTTTGAAACAGGCTTATCCAGTTATTAAGTTAGAATTATTACGATGCTATAATGCATGTTTAAAATTTGGAGTATTCCCACGTCAATGGAAAATTGGAAAATTAATTATATTATTAAAGGATGAAAAGCGAGATAGGAGTAGTCCTAAATCTTATCGTCCAATTTGTTTGTTATCGGAAATTGGAAAGTTATTAGAAAGGCTTATGAGAAATAGGTTACGTATGATAATGGAGTCAAAATTGGATCAATGGCAATTTGGTTTTCGTAAGGGCCGTTCAACAACTGACGCTATGCGACAACTAAAGGTTTTTGTAAATGAATCACTTAAAAAGTATGTTTTAGCTATCTTTTTAGATATAATGGGTGCATTTGATAATATCTGGTGGCCAAGTATTCTGGATGTTTTGGTTAGGTATAATTGTCCGTTTAATCTATATAAATTGGTTTTTGATTATTTAGCATATAGACAGGTGAGGTATG